CAGTTTTTTAGCTTCCAGCTCACACATTTTTGTTTTAGCTCAGGAAGGAGGGCTCCAGAGCAAACTAATTTATGCACTAGCCAAATCGTTTGCTCACAACTTTAATGCCAGTAGCTCACAAAGCAGAATTTTTGCTCACAAGACTCCACAGCTTAGAGGGAACATTCCCACTTTTGAGAGCCAGTTTGGTGTAGTGGTTAAGTGCGCGGACTCTAATCTGGGAGAACCGGGTTTGATTCCCCACTCCTCCACGTGCACCTGGCTGGATGACCTTAGGCAAGCTGTAGTTCTGATAAGAGCTGTTCTTGAAAAAGAGCCATTTCTGTCAGAGCTCTCTCAGCCCCATCTACCTCACAGGGCGTCTGTTGTGGGGAGGGGAAGGGAAAGGAGTTTGTAAGCCACTCTGAGACACCTTTGGGTAGTGAAGGGCCACGGGGTATAAATCCAATCTCTTCTTCTCTCTCAGCCCCACCTACCTCACAGGGTGTCTGTTGTGTGGAGGGGAAGGGAAAGGAGTTTGTAAGCCACTCTGAGACTCCCTTGGGTAGTGAAGGGCGGGGTATAAATCCAATCTCTTCTTCTCTTCAATCTCTTCTTTTGAGAGCTTTAAGTTGGATACCAGCTGGCCAGAAATGAGAAAGGCCCTGCCCTCCCCTGGATAGCGTCAGATCTTGGAAGCTAAGCAGGGCCGGCCCTGGCAAGTATATGGACCCTCAAAGAATACCAGGGCTGGGAGGCAGAGGCAGGCTAATCAAGCCACCTCTCTGAATGTCCTCCATGCCCCAGTAGAAGAAGAGATTGGGTTTATACCCCACCCTTCACTTGGAGTCTCAGAGCGGCTTACAGTCCCAACCGGTTCTGAATACATCTTGCCTTGAAAACCCTAAATCAGCTGCAGCTCAGTGACCCAAAACAAATAAAACAAAAGGAGAAGGGAGTTTGTTTTGAGATGGCCAGTTCCTGATATAGCAAGATGGTGCCACAAGGAAGAAGAAAGAGGAAAACAGCAATGGAAGAGAAAACGAGATTGTGTAATATCTACTGAGGGAGACCGATTGGTAATTTGCTTTTAATGGGTGGAGGGGAAAATAATGGTTAAATGAGATGCCATTGTTCTCTGTAATTTGTGTCTCAGTTAAATAGCGATTCTCCTGGACTACTCTTCATATAGTCAGATTTGTTGGGATGTTTTTACAAGCGATGATGATGATGATGATGATGATTGATCACTCTCAATGTTAAAGAAAGCTTTTTATTATTGTTAACCAAATTTTTTACAAGCTGTATGTGACCTCCAACCCTTGGGGTTTTAGTGGGTTTTCTTGTCTTTCTCCTATAGTGTGTAGATTCCCTCCCTAATTTTGTTGTAGTTTTTAGTAAATGCAAATATTGTGTTTTGTTAAAAAAAAAAAAAAAAAAAACCCCCGGGGGGGGGGGGGGGGGGATAAAAAAACCCGAAAAAACACACAAAAGCATCCAACCTGGAGCCCGCTGCGGCTGTCCCGCCCACACAACTGTCCCGCATGGGCCCCAGCAGCACCGCCCAGTCCCAGGTCACCCGGCTCGGGCCGTGGCCTGCTTCGCTGGAGCCATGTCCTTGGCGCGAGTGGCTATGTGGGTTGCTTACCCCATCCCGACCTTCTGTTCTGGTTTGGGTCGGGCTGTCTCTTTGCCGAGCGTGGCGCTCTGTCTGCGCACACTGGGAAAGAGCAGGGGTCTGGCAGTCCTCTTGTTGCAGGAAGAGGGGAGGAATGAGGATGTTAGATTTGGCAGGGAGTGCCTGAGGCCTGGCTAGGCACAGAGGAATGCAAATAACAGGGCCCGCGTCAGTCCTTCAAGAGGGCTGATAGAAGATTGCCTGAATCAACAAGGCAACGGTTGGACCTGGGGAGCTAGCTGGATGGTGATGAGTTATGGGGGAAATGGCGGATCCCCACCCTGCCGCCATCACTCCAGGTCTGCTGGGTAGCGTCAGGACTCTCTGCTGAAAGGGGAGGCAGAACCCCAGCAGGGCAGGCATTGGTGACCTTGCTTGCCGGTTGCCTGCGTGGGCTTCTCCCCATGTGCAGGGCCTCCTTCCCCCCCCCCTTTGTCAGGGTCAGGAAATTCTACGGCCTTCTTGGTTATCAAGCTGCTTATTTTTGGAAGCATGTGGTTTTGTTTCCAAAAGCAAACACAGTGGATGACGAGAATCATTTTGTCTGGTCCTTGCAGATCACCGCCTCTGTTTGTTTTGTTTTCAAGGCCGGAAAGTTTTCCTCGGAGGAATTTGATCTGGGATTTGGCCGTCTGGGCAAATCAACGCCAATCCTTTCAAGGGTTTCCCCCCCCCTCCCCCTCCCTTGTGCCCCAGCACAGTTGAAATCAAACTGGCGGGTTAGGAGTCTCTTGTTTGCGTTTTAGGATTGTCAGCGTCTTTGGCCAGGAGGGCTACACAGGTGCTGGCTGTTCAGAGGCAGCCGGAGGCCTGAGCTGGGACAGGAGGAGTCGATGTCCCGGAACAGCGGGCAGTGGGCAGAGGGGCTGGAGAAAGACAGTTCTTTATAGGGTTGTTAGCTCTGGGTTGGGAATAGGGCTGCCAAGCTGCGGCGGTGGATCCGTGCGTCTTCACAGGATCCCTGCCGCGGGGGACAGCGATACGCGTTGCACCGCCGTCGCCAGGATGTGACGCTACGCGTCGCTCTGGCAACGAGACCGTTGCCAGAGCGACACATAGCGTCACATAAATTCAAGCTCTGCGGTATCTTCAACAATTCCATAGAGAGTTAAAGACTGAGCTGTTCTGGCAAGCGTTTTAATAGTCCTACCACACTGACCATTCCACATAACTACTAGCACTTTATAACAGATGCCCGCCACATTCTAATTTTAATAAGTTGTATTTATTGTATTGTTTTGCATTGTTTTAGATGTGACAATTGGTATTAATTGTATACTGGTTTTTTTTTTTTTAATAAAGGTTTTATTGGCTCCCCTAAAAAGGGGAGGTATTTTGCTTAAAAGAAAAAAAGGGAGGGGTAGACAGTGGGAGAAAGAGAAAGCTGAGTGATATATAAACTGGTAAATTAAACTGTTAGTAATGTCCAATTAATCTTCTTGGGCTTCTTCTGTGTGTTGCCAAACTTCTTTTCTTAGTCCTGTTACATGTATTCTCTGTTAGTATGTTAGTAATGTTCCTTTGAATTTCTGTTAATAAAAAAAATCTCTTCTGTGCACATTCAGAACCGCTTCTTTGCGTGCTGGGTACTTTTACTATCGCTGACGTGGAGGAGCTTCCTCTGTTGTCTTTCCGGCTTGTTAGATCCTCCTTCGGGTTGTTGTTAATACGCTCAGTTCATGTACTATAAATCCTCTTCCTTTCATGCCCCGGAGTTCCCCATTTTCGAGAATGGTATCAATTTCATTTTCGCTTTTATATTCGCTCCCAGACTCTCTATGGGTCCTCCTCGCAATTGTTGACTTATAAGCGCTTATCAGGCACTTTTCGCTGTCACAATTCCAACTTATCTTTTTTGCAAAACTCCCGTCGGATTCACAGCCATAAACAGTCCACACATTCAGCCGCCGGCTCTTGCACACAAACCAACGCCCAGACGGAAGTCCCTCCCTCCTTCTCCGCTCGGCAAAAATCCTACTTTGTGAGCTACCGGCATTAAAGTTGTAAGTGAGCGATTTGGCTCCTGCAGAAAACAGTTTGCTCTGGAGCCACATCCTTCCTGAGCAAAGACAAAAATGTGTGAGCCGGAGGCTAAAAAACTGTGAGCTAGCTCACACTAACTCAGCTTAGAGGGAACACTGGTCTCCAGCCACCCCCCAGGAGACTGCAAAATACAACCGTGATATAATAACTATATCTTTGCATTATCAAAGTGTAGTGCAGCTCCCTTCACAATCAACCAAAGTTTCTATTTATAAGCATTCCACCAGAGTTCTAAGGATGACTGTGCACCCATAGAGACACTGATGTAAACAGTCCTATTTTGTGGTCCATTTTTCTTTTTCTTTTCCATCCATCCAAAGCCTTTTATTGGCCTGTACATGAAGATACAGTAATCTAAATACAAAATCGTGCAGAGTAAAATTAAAATTGCAGAGTAACATCGTAGAGTAACACCATGATAAGAGCATCATCATAATAAAACCTAATTCGTAGTATCACTTATCAGGCCATGAGACCATGGCGCTGCAAAGAAACTTTGCTACTGTTTCAGTTATTTCTGTATCTGGATTATCAAGCAAGGAAAGGAGCTTAAAATCATCAGGGGCCTCTAAAAATTTTCCGTGTTGTAGTTTGACATAGCACCACCTGCGGTTTCCACAACGGGATGGCTCGGACCCCGTTTCAATGCTTCATCAAGGCAGATCCCGCACAGAACGATTTCTCCAAGTCTTAATATTCTGTTGTTGTTCATTATATAAAGACTCCCAGCTTGCTGCTGAATTCTGCCTTGTTTATTACGCCATCAGGCAATATCTATTTTGATAGACCATCAGTGGTGGAATGTTCATAAGTAGAAACTTTTGTTGATTGTGAAAAGGTAAAGGAGTTGCACTAAGCTTTTATCATATATACTTATTATATCACGGTTGTATTTTGCAGTCTCTTGGTGGTGGCTAGAGATCTCCTCAAATTACAACTAGTCTCGAGGTTACAACTAGTCTCGAGGTTGCAGGCAGTGTTCCCTCTAAGCTGAGTTAGTGTGAGCTAGCTCCCAGTTTTTCAGCCTCCAGCTCACAGTTTTTTGTCTTCGCACAGGAAGGATGGCTCCAGAGCAAACTAATTTATGCAGTAAGCCGAATCGCTTGCTCACAACTTAAATGCTGGTAGCTGACAAAGTAGAATTTCTGCTCGCAAGAGTCCACAGCTTAGAGGGAGCATTGGTTGCAGGGTTGTATTTTGCTGTTTACCATTCCAATCCATGATCTCTTACTTTTAACCACCTGGAGACTGGCAGCCCCAGTAGCTAACCCCCGCCCTCGTTGCCGGTCATCCCCTGCAGGTTATCTCATCATGACAGACGACTGGTTCTCGGAGTACGTGTACGAAGTGGTGGTGGACAAGAAGCACGTGCCCGAAGACGTCCTGGCGGTGATGCAGCAGGAGCCAATCGTCCTGCCCGCGTGGGACCCAATGGGCGCTCTGGCCAAGTGAACTCTCGGGGGGCCTCGCTGCCTCCTCCTTCTGGTCAACCTTGAAGCAAGCGTGGTGGGATCGGGAAGGCCAGGAGCCATGGCAAAGCAGCCACGCGGCCATGCTCACCGCTGGAGGTGCGGCAGTCGCCAGTGGTCCTCTGCAGGTCCTCTGCGGGAAGCTGTGCTTTTTTCACCGATGGGGCTACTCTGCAATCTTGCCGTTGCCGTGTGCTTTTCCCATTGTAGTACGATTGTCCCTTTCTTTCTTCTTAGTCCTTTTTTGAATTCTTTTCTTTATGCACTCAGTGTGTTTCAAACTCCCTCCAAAGTGATACTTTCAAGCAAACTACGTGGGCAGAAGATGGGTGCAGGGTGACGATCGTAAGGGAACAATGGTGGTGGTTAGGGTTCGGTGGCTTCACCTGCCTCTTTCTGGAGTGAGGGAGAGTCACGGGGTGGGTGACCCTGTCCATTTCTGATCCACGAGCTTCCGTCTGTCTGTCTGTCTCTTGTCTGTCCTGACTGTGGTACAGTCTGAATTGTCTGGGGGGGATTTTTTGCCTTGGAAACGGTACACCGGATTCTGAGCCAACAGGATCGTCAATTCTGCCTGGCTCAGCAGAACAACCACTTAGATGTCTTCATGGGCAGAACTGAAGAATGCAAGATGCCCACGCAAAAAACAACAACAACAACAAAACTTTTTTTTTAAATCACGGATTTTATTCAAATGCTGTTGACGATTAGATGGTGCTATGACGCGTTTTAAATAAATACACATTGCCGAATGCCCTTTGCATCCTGTGTTGGCGACTTAGCTAAAAATACAAAGATGATTTCTGACCTGCAGGTGACCTGCAGAGGAAGTGGTGGCAGTGGGGACACACCAAGTCCCTTCCTGGCATCTTCAGTTACAAGTTTCTGCAGCAGCGGTTGGAGGGGGTAACCCAGCGAGCCAAGCTTTTTATTGTCGCTGGGCTTATATCCTTCCTTTTGCCTGAGAGCAGGATGGGTAGCAATTAACAGTTATAAATAAAAGGAAGAGGGTTATAATGGCATTGTTCCTAACCAGAGACACAGGCTGATGTAGCTTTAGCTCTATCTGGCAAGGAAGTCCATAGTTAAGAGCTGTTCACGATGTGGGAGTCACTCTTGTCCTGGTCAAAAGTGTCTCATTTGTCATTGCGCTGGTCAGATTTTATAGTTAAAAAAAAATGCAGATTTAAGGATTCGAACTTTGGAATAGGGAGTTGTCTGTCTGTGTCCTAAATAAACCCAAAGCTGTTTATAAATTCAGTGCCAGCCACCTGTCACCGGCAGCCTTTAGTTGCCCAGTCCTTCTGTGCCATGGCCTGAGGGTGTAATTTATTTATTTTATTTTATTTTATTTATACCCCGCCCTCCCCGCATGCGGGCTCATGTTTTTGGGCTTGCTCACCCTGTTCCGTTGGAGTTTTGAAGTCCCAGTTAACTCAGTCGATAAATCTGCAAAACAATGGTGACTTTTCTGGATGACTTCTGGAATGATATCTGAGTCCAGTAGCGCTTTAGAGACAAACAGGGTTTTTAGGGAATAAGATGTCAAGAGTCAAAGTTCCCTTCATCAGATACTTTCGGGAACTACGTTTCTCTTTGACTTTTAGCAGTGGACTGTGTGTGCCTCTCTTGGCAAACTGCTTGACAGGGCAGCTTGGCTTGGCTTGGCTGTTGGAAACCTAAGCTGACCGCTACCAAAGCCCCAAGTACATTTGCTGAGCTTCAAAGACTTTAAGATGGCTGAGATGCTGGTTCAGGAAGCTAGGAATGCTGGGGGGGGGGGACGGAATCTCTGCTGCCGATCAGAGGGAGACCACAATGAGGAAGCTGGGCCAGGATTACAGCTTCATATAGGGAGGGGTGATGCTGGAGTGGCTGAGCAGATCCCATGAGGTCCCAGGTGCCATTAGAGCTGAATCGGGATCTAGGATAGCTGAGAGAGGTGTTCAGCCAAGGCTATGCAAAGCTACTTCCGGGCAGAGTGGGTGGAACTAGAAGAAGAAGAGAAGAGATTGGATTTATACCCCGCTCTTCACTACCTGAAGGAGTCTCAGAGCAGCTTACAAACTCCTTCCCCACAACAGACACCCTGTGAGGTAGGTGAGGCTGAGAGAGCTCTTTCGAGGACTGCTCATGAGAGAACAGCTCTGAAAGAACTTGTAGCTGACCCAAGGTCATACCCTCAGCTGCAGGTGGAGGAGTGGGGAATCAAACCCAGTTTTCCCAGATTAGAGTCCGCGCGTCTAACCACTACACCAGATTGGCTCACTAGATGAATCCGTAATCTCCCTCTTCCTCATTAAACCCACTGATAATAATTAAGATGGCCAATCGGTGTATTTTTCTTAACGTTGTGTGAAGGAGGGCAAAAAAAAAATCCTTAATGGATGGGAGTCTGGGCTGCATCCACTTGGCCACTATTCTCCCTGTTGCTTTCATTGCTGCAGACAGTGCAGAGAAATGCACAGCAGCAACAGAGCAGTGAATTCCCAGCCTGCTCTTATGGCTTCTGCCTTGTTTCTTTTGTCTAAACAAACACTCTGTATGCTTTTCCATTTATATCTCCACAATGAAAAGGGCTTACAGACTTCCAAAGAAAAAGCTTGGGAATTTAGAGGAGCTAGCAGACCATGGCGATTACCCTATTTGTTTCTTTTTTAAAAAGCTCAAAAAACCATCCATGATAGTGTGGAGGAAATGGCAGCTGCAAGGACTGATGGGAGGGAAATGGCACCGATGTGGGCAGACCTTTCAGAAGTGTGAGCATTCCCCAATGGCATGCAAATGTACTTGGACTGTGTTCTTTCAAAAAGAGGGGGAAACCTGGGAAATGGACCAGTTGCTCAAAAAGAGTTTTCTAGTGGCATAAAGATATACAAAAAGAGTTGTCAGAGGAGCAAAGGGGCTCTAGCTGGAATACTCCAGTATATATAACTAAATCTATAAATATACAACTGCAAATATATAAAGTAATCTCAAGATGGTACCTGACACCTGCTCAACTCTCGCACTCCAACCCTAACATGTTATCTCAGTGTTGGAAACTTTGCAGAGAAAAAGGAACATACTTACATACATGGTGGTCCTGGAAGGTGATTTGGCTTTTTTGGATGCAAGTTACGATGGAAAACTCCTGAATGACAGACTATACTATCCCAACGACTCCTGAAATAATTCTCCTTAATTTATGGGAGAATGATAAAATACCTACAATCAGGCAAGAACTAGAAATTATTATGATCACAGCTGCAAAAAATGTAATAGCTTTGAAATGGAAGGAAAGAGAACCTCCTATTGTACAATCATGGTACCTCAAACTATGGGATTATTTTATTCTAGAGAAGATAACAGACAATATGCAAATCACTGAATCGCAAACTCAACAATCGAACTTGTTAGAAAAATGTCTTCCTTTTATTGAACATAAATCTAAGGGTCAAAATTATATGGATATAACACAATTTCTTTTGTCTCATGGTATATCACTGAAAGAAATCCTATGAAAACATTTACCAATTACGTAATAGAATTATATAGTAAAAGGGATGTTTACATATAAATGAATTAAGCTGACGCCCAGCATTACTGTTAAAATAATGTTACTTGGATATTATATAATACTTCACCACTTGGAAAGCGCTGTAACCGGTTATATATAATACTGGTTTGGGGGGGGGGGAGTTTTTTAGGATGGAGGCAAAGGCAGAGCAAAAGATCCATGTGGATGCAACCTGGGAATATAATATTTCTCTGACAATTATCAAGGATACCCTCATTCGGGCGAGGGGAGGGGGGTGAATAAAAACCTGGACCCCTTTGGGCAGTTTTGATGTGGCAAAAGTTTTATTTGCTTTCTGTGTTTCTTTACGCTGGCACAGAGCAGGTTGAAGTTGGTTTGAACCAACCCCGTTGTGTTTTTCCTAGAATGACTATCGGGCAGATTCTCAGTATCTTGCAATGACTCTGCCCAGTTCTGGCCTTGGGAGGCTTCTTAGAAGGGCTGCAGGCATTTGGCCACTCCTGGTCCAGGCGGAGGAGAAGAGCCATTCTCCCTAACCGCAGCCTTGCTTTATTAACTGCATTGACCCAAAGCACCACCGGAGCTATTCTGGAGCCAAAGTTTGCTTGGCTTCGGTGTCAATGCGAGTGCTTTGAGCATTGTGCTTCCACGCACTATTTTAAAGCAGAGGCCCCTCTTCGTCGTCTTCCTGATCCCCCTCGACCCTTCCCAAAGCCACCCGTTTCTCATTTCTTAAGAGTCCGCAGCCATTCAAGTGAATGACAGGTCTGGCTTATGAAACCAGTCGAGTAGCATAAGGGCTGTCTGGGGCAGCGGTGGTGGGGACTGAGTCTGACGAGGGGGAGCGGAAGCAAAAGCCGCCACCCCGTTGTTTCTTTCATTTGGAAGACTCTGAACAATTGTACGGCCACATGCTTATCTTTTCCGGTACAGCTTGGCAGGGGGAGAGGCTTGCCCCCAATCTGGAACGGCAGCCATTGCGCCTGTGGTTTATTTCTGTCCAGTCGCCCAGGACTTGGCCACACTTTGGCGTGGCCACAAGATGGCTGCTCTGCTGGGCACATCAGGAAGGCACCCTTGACCAGACAGTAACTGCCTGCCTGCTGTGTTTCTCTCCAAGCCTTGCTTGAAGGCGGGGAGGGCAGCGGCCCTGCGTTCCCCTTCCTCCCCTGGATTCTCACAACCAGTGTTCCCTCTGAGCTGAGTTAGTGTGAGCCGGCTCACGGTTACTTAGCCTCCGGCTCACACATTGTTGTCTTCGCTCAGCAAGGATGGCTCCGGAGCAAACTGATGGATGCCGCAGCCAAATCGCTCGCTCACAACTTTAATGCCAGGAGCTCACAAAGTAGAATTTTTGCTCCACAGCTAAGAAGAAGAAGAAGAAAAAGAAGAGATTGGATTTATAACCCGCCCTTCACTTGGAGTCTCAGAGCGGCTTACAAACTCCTTTCCCTTCCCCTCCCCACAACAGACACCCTGTGAGGTGGGTGGGGCCGAGAGAACTCTGACACAAACTGCTCTTTTTCAAGGACAGCTCTTGTCAGAACTATGGCTTGCCCAAGGCCATCCAACAGCTGCATGTGGAGGAGTGGGGAATCAAACCCGGTTCTCCCAGATTAGAGTCCGCACACTTAACCACTACACCAAACTGGCTCTCAATTGCTCAACAAACTGCAATTGCTCACAACCCCTGTGTGAGGCAACAGTTCAGCCGCCTGGGTCAAGTCAGGTCACCCAGCGAGCTTCCTGGCAGACACCGGAGAAGAAGAAGAAGAAGAAGAGGAGGAGGAGGAGGAGGAGGAGGAGGTGGAGGAGGAGATTGGATTTATGCCCCGCCCTTCACTACCCAAAGGTGTCTCAGAGTGGCTTACAAACTCCTTTCCCTTCCCCTTCCCCTCCCCACAACAGACACCCTGTGAGGTGGGTGGGGCCGAGAGAGCTCTGACAGAAACTGCTCTTTTTCAAGGACAGCTGTGCCAGAGCTTGTGACTGACCCAAGGTCACATCAGCAGGTGCAAGTGGAGGAGTGGGGAATCAAACCCGGTTCTCCCAGATTAGAGTCCGCGCACTTAACCACTACACCAAACTGGGATATGAGATCCCAAGAGCTCCTTTTGTGGGAGTCTAGATTCCTCTTTTCTTTGACCAGGATCCTTTGTCAAAGGCGGTTGGCCATGCCGTGTGGGGGGCAGGGGGGCGTTGGGTCTTTGGGCAACCCCCCCCCCC